TAATTTTGAGTTTGAAAATATTAAGTGCAATAAACATACTAGCACAGATTTCATTTTGTTGCAGTTGGCATACACACTGAGGATTACTAAAAAAAAAATGATTTTATGTATTGCCTACTCCTGGTAGATGTCTTATGAGAATATTTGCTTTCTCTAAGTTATTTAGATGGTGGATATATAAAATGTACATATTTGTTCTTTGTTCTGAATACATTTCTCAAATGTACACCTGTATTATAATAACCTCCCAGTTCTAGGGGAAATTTGTGCAATAAACACACATGTCAATTTGATGTGTGACCTTGGTTTTTCTTTCATATATTAATAAGATCTGTGTAACATTGTAGACTCTTGATATCAGACCACCTGGATTCTTGTCCCAGTTTGGCACTTTGGGCATGAGACCTGTCCATACTGGTAGAATTTACTTCATGAGGTTGTGAGAATTGAATAAAATAATGAATGTCAAGAATTTAGCTTAATGCCAGCATACCCCAAGTGCTTAAAAACTTTTTAGCTGCTACTGTTATCAGGTAACCTGTCCATCCTTTCTTTTATGATTATTTCCCTCTCTATGCTTAACACCATCCTTTTGTGTTGTTCTTTGTTTTTTCTTTTACAGAACGAGAGATCAAACTCAGGACCTTGCACTTACCAGACAGGTGTGGCACCACTGAGCTACATTCCTGGCCCCCCGAGTGTTTTTTTGTTGGTGGTGATTTTTTTGGGTTTTTTTTGAGACAGGATATCCCTATGTAGTTCAGACTGGCCTTGAGCTCACTATGTAAAGGATCTTCCTGCCTCAGCCTCCTGAGTACTGGGATTATAGGCATATTGATGGGAGAATTTTTAACGTACATTCTTAGGAATAAAAACAAAGTTTAACACTAGTGTATTTTTACACCCTTTTCACAATGTTAAATTGAAAATTAATGCCAATTGAACTCAAGCAACTAAAACCTAATCAAGCTACTTAAAACCATTAACCTCGTATCCAATACAAATTACTGTAGTCTTTATAATTAAAAATTGGTTGACTAGTTTAGGTTCTAATCCTGGTTTGTTGGTTGATTTGCACATGACTGAGCCAGTGTGTCCTCTTATGCTAAAGTCAGCTCTTCCCTTCATCCTTATTGTGTGCTAGGCAGCAGTAACTCAGCCTCCAGTAGGCTCCTTGGGAAGCTGATTTCCTCAGGCTTAGTTGGGCAGTTAGGCCTGGAGGCAGGCCTAGACCAGAAGCTTTTTGGAGTGCCTATTTTCATATCGTATTACAAGTTAACACGTTTACATTTAACTAAAGAGGATAAGTGTACTGTTTTTAAAGCAGGAAGTGTCAAGTATTTGGGACGGATTCATTAGTTTAGAGCTGTTCACACATACAAACCTTGAGAAATCTTGCAACATTTCTGAGAAGTATAGAGGGGTGATTTTGCTAACGAGAAACTAAGGTACAGAAAATTGTACATGACTTCTGAGGTCATACAGTCCTTCCTATATAGTCCATCTCATCTCAGACTAGGTTTCCCAGCTAGGTGGATTGGCAGATTTTTAATCTTAGATTTAAAAGCTAAGATTTCTTCATAAAGGTGTGGGGTAGCAAGTGAGACCAGACCCTGAGCTGTAGGTCCACTGAGGGGCTGAGAAATTGTATCTCTGTGGGAAAGGCTTAGGCAGATAAGGAGTGAAAGGTATTTGCCACTATTGCTCAGTAATGCAGGCTGGGCTTAGCCGTGTTATGGCTTGTATCTAGATGTCCCCCAAAGCCTCGGGCTCACAGATGGGGCTTTTCAGAGCTAACCGGGTCCAAGTTATGTGAACTAAGATTAAGGATGTGTGATCACTTAATTAGTCCACTGACTGGTTTAAAAGTTATAGGTGTCAATAATAGGAAGCCCTAACCAAGGTGTGGGCGGCACCACCCAAAAGGCTTGTAGCCTGGACAGAAAGAAGGCAGGCTTGATGCTTGTGGCCTCCTGCTTGCCCTGCCATGGACTGTTCTTCTCTGCAATGCCCCTCTGCCATGCTGCCCTGTCTTGGAGCCTGTCCACTATGGACTGAAACCTCTACAAACTGAGCTGAAAGACCTTTCCCCTCATCTAACTTGTAGGTGTGAAGTATTTTGTCCCAGCAATGAGAAAACTAAGATACTGTCTTTACTCTAGATTTAAAATTATTTGAGAATTCCCTAAAACACAGGCAGTTCAAAACAAATTCCCAACCATTATTTGTCAGAACTCTGGTGAGGCATAAAGAATGTGCTCAGAACAGAGTACTCCCACTCCCCCAGGAACCAGGACTTTCCTTCTTCTGAATGTATGAACCTAGAGTAATCTCTTCATCAGACTGCAGATACCTCTGTCTGGTTAACAGTGTCTGATTAGAACTCCTGCAGATAAACCTGTATTTTTACCCTAGGGAGAATATTACATTGAAGAGGCTTGAGCGTTCTCCCAAAGGACTGTCTTCACAAGGGCAATGTAAAAACATGTCTTTTTATTCACCTCAGTGCTCAAAGGCACATTACTTTCCTAAATTGTTGGTGAAATGTTTAAGTACAAGGAAGGTATTGTTATTTCCTAAATAAACTTGCGGTAGCAGTCTCTTGGGACACATTTGGTACAATACTTGCTAGTTAATATCCTTTACAATGATGTACGGGCCTAGGACATGCTAAAGCAGTTGAAATACTAATTCTCAGACTTTCCCCCAAAAGACTCTGATTCAATAACTGACCCTCTGGATTTAGGACAGAAAATACTCTTTTTTCTACTAGTAGTGACTCGATCTTTAGCATACTCTAAATCTCAATTACCTGCTTCCTTCTGGGTAGTATTAAAACCAGAGCTATTTACCCCTGTATTTTTGCTGATTTGCCGTTATCCTAGAAAGATGGTCATATGATAATGATTTCATTCAGTTAACGAGTATTCAGTTTTGTGTAATGCAACAGGTATCTAGCCAGGTGTCTTTCTTCACCACTGGAAAGCAATCAAACGTGTGCATTGTGCTGGCATCTGTCCCTCCCTCCCTTCCTCCCTCTTCTCTTATCTTGCTAGTTAGCTTACTTGCTTGTTTTGAGACAGGTCTCACTACTTTTCCCAGGCCGGTCTGCAGTTCCTGGGCCCAAATGATCCTCTTCTTTCCGCCTTCCAAGTAGTCGGGATTATAGGTGCACACCACCACAACCAATTTCAAGTGCCTATCACCCGAACAGTGAAATTCCCTTTAATCCATAGATACTTCTATTTGTTCATTCAGCAAATATTTATTGAGCACCAATTACATGCTAGGCCTAAGTATGGGTGCCATAGGTATGCCATTAAATAACAAAAATTTTTTTCTAGTCTCATGGAGTTTACATAGTTCCCCTCTAGAAGAGGACCACTCATCCGTAATACATAATGGTATCAAGTAGTAGTACTTATAATAAAAATCAAGGCATTAACCGTGTTTTGAAAGAAACATAACCATATTTTTGTTTTCCCACAATTTAATAAATTATTTGCATTCAAACCATTATTTTTTTCTTTACATGTTAGTGTGAGTGAATCCTGTTCTAAAGCTTGCCTTTTCTGTGAAGACAGCTATTAGAGCTTTCACTGGTCCTCACTTTATTTAGTGTACAAGAGCATAATACAAGACAGTGAAGGACAAAGTAGATTTGGAAAATGTACCTATGGGCAATGAGTAGTATATTAGTTAGTTTTCAATTGCTGTAACAGAATTACCCAAGGCTGGGAAATATTTAAAGAAAATAGGTTTGTTTAGCTCACAGTTTTGGCAGCTAGTAATAAAAACATGGTGCCAGGGATTTAGCTCAGTGGTTCTGCTGCCTGCCTCAAAAGTGCAAGGTCCCAAATTCAATCCCCGGTACCAAAAAAAAAAAACCCAAACAAACATGGTGCTAGTTCTGGCAAGGGGCCCCTCAGCAGCAGATGATATGGTGTTAGGGCTTGTATCTAGATGTCACCTCAAAGCCTTGTGCTCGCAGGTGGGGCTTTCTGGAGGCAGCTGGATCTAAGATGTGTGATACTGAGATTAAGAGTGTGTGATAATTAAATTGGTTTAGCATAGTTCTTGGTGTGGATAATGGAAGGCCCACCTTGGTTGTGGGTGGCACCAACCAATAGACTTGCAGCCTGGATATATGGAAATGGTAGAAGGTAAGCTGCTGCTGTTTGCTGCATTCTGCCTTCCATGCCATGGACTGTTTCTCTTCTGTGATGCCCTTCTGCCATGCTGCCCTGTCTTACAGACAGCTGACTCTGGACTGAAACCTCTACAAACTGAGCTAAAATAAACCAGTCCTCCTTTAACTTTGGGTGTGGGGTACACTGGTACCTCAGTTCACAAACTTAATTGTAAATATATGCAACCAGAATCATGGAAACAAGTTCATGAACCAAGGTACCACTGTATTTTGTCTCAGTCATGAGAAAAATAAAGTGGGAATACATGCAAAAGGAAAAGATTGAATGTGCTATGTTTTAGCTATCATGTGTTGGGAGCTTGGTCCCAATGCACCACTGTTCAGCATTGATGGGCTTTGTAGAAGTGATCGTGATGACTCTCACTTCATCAGTGAATTAATCTACTGATGAGTGCATAGCTCAGTGGGCTTACTAGGAGGTTGGGCCCAATTGTATGAAGCAAGTCACTGGGGGTGTAGCTTTAAAGGATATATTTTGTCCCTGGATCCTTCCTCTCTAGTTGTTTCACCCTCTGCTTCTAGGCTGCCATGAGGTGAACAATTTTGTTTCACTATGCTCTTCCACCATGTTTTGTCTTGTCTCAGGCCCAAAGTTATGAAACCAGCCAACCACAGGCTGACCTCTCTGAGAGCCAAAATCTTTACTCTTTAAGTTTTTCCTCAAGTATTTTGTCATAACGAAAAGCTAACACACGGTAAGACAGGAGTGACAGAAGGTAAGTCTTATTCTTCTGTATCAGCCCCTCTCTTGGCATTAACTGGGGTGCTGTAAGAACTGTGTCGATCCCTTTTGAGGGCATTGTCCCAATAACAACTTCCTCCCATTAGGCCCCACTTGTTAACCATCCCACTGCATTATCAATACACTGGGATCAGTGAGGCCGGGGATTTAGCTCAGTGGTTTCACTGCCTGCTGGGCAAAGGCGAGGACTCAAGTTCGATCCCGGGTACCAAAAAAAAAACCAACACTGGGATCAAGCTTCCAACACAGGAACCCTAGGGGGACACAATGCATATCACTGGAATATTTAATAACTTTTTACTGTTGTAATAAAGCAATTGTTTTTATACACTGATTCATTTTCTCATGAAATACACAAAACAGTGAATTAATATACATTCATGTAACTATCACTCAGGCCCAGAACATTTTCAGCAATCCAGAAACCACCTCCTCCATGTGCTCTATCCTGTTCATAATCCTCTACTTTGTGGTTTATCTCACTGCCAAGGTGATCATTTTGTGAATATTTGCTTGCTTTTTCTTTTAAAGTTTTGCCTGTGTATATGCATTGCCACTGATACTGTTTAATACTGCTTGAACTCTTTAAGTGGAATCATCCCCTCTATTCTGTTTTGGGTTTTTTTCCTCAACATTATGTTGTATTCATCAATGTGCTATGTAATACATATTCCACTTTTTATCCATTCTTTTATTGATGGGTGTTTAAGTTATCTCTGGTTTTTGGCTACTATGAACAATGAACATTTTTACATTTTTTGGTATACACAGACATTCTTTAGGACATACTGTATATTAAGGAGTGGACTTAACTGTCATTGGGTATGTTAAGTTTCAGGTTTAGATTTTTTTTTTTCTCAGAATTGTTTTCCAGTTTACACTTAAGCAGCATTTGTAAGAATTCCTCTTGTTCCACATCTTCACCAATATTTAAATGTTTCTGAATATAAATAAAAGAAAAATTCACATTATTATTCAAATTTGAATGTGTTTTGAAGAAATTATTTCCTAAAGTGATAAAAATAATAAGGCTTGAATTAATTGTCAGGGATCATGCTAAACGCTTCACATTAAATGTTTAATGTTACAACCCTCTACTCTTCCCATTTTATAGATGAAGAAATTGAAGTTCAGAGATAGTTTAACTTCAAGATAGGAGTGGGTGTACCTTAGTAGTGAAGTGCTAGCATTCAGGGGTCCCTGGGTTTGATCCACAGCACCAAAAACGTTAACTTACCTAACAAGAAGTAGTCTATTAAAGATACAAATTCAGGTCTCTTTGGCCCTAAAGTCGAAGTTCATGATGACCATGGTATATTCTTTCCAGTTACTGTAATGACTTAAAATTAAGCCTTGAAGAACGGAAGGGGTAACTTTTGTGATACTAGGTGATCTTTGAGAGGATGTTTATACATGCACGTGTACACACACACACACGACGAGGAAAATAGGTCGTCTCCAAAAACTAGTTATTTTCCCACAATTACTTTATTTCTGTGATGGCTGAACCACAGCTTCTCCGGTAAGGTTTTCGCCCCAAACTCGAAAAAACAGATGTACTAATAGTATGTTGTAAACTTCAAGTTTAGGCAAGCCCCATGACCAACGGAAAATACAGCACTTATTGACATCAGCTATCATTACTCTAAATTGTAGCCTGAACTCTACTTTTCCTTTTATTACTCAAAAACAGTTTCAGTTCTTACCATGTCATTACAAAGGTACCGTGAATCGGTCCTTATTTGAAAAGACCACGATAATCCTAAATCACCGAGTTAGTGAACTATGCTAATTGCTGTGAGAGATACTAAGATGTACCTACGTGTGATAACCCTCCAGTAGCTTTAAAATTCTGAGTAAAGGACAGGCCTACGACGGTGCCAAACTGAGGCCATGTGATTAGTGTGGCTCACCCGTACATTAATGAGAAATAGTGTAAGGAGCTGTTTTGAAACGACAGATTCTGTAATTGTCAGTAACCTTTACAGTTAAAATTGCCTTTGCAGCGTACTGCCCCAAGGGTGATGTTTCTTACAAAAGACCAGTAAAGAAACCGAAAGTGGCATTATTCGGTCTACTGGGAAACAGACTACAAAGCAGGAAACTGTGCAAAGGCGTCCGCTCTAAATTCAGACGACCCTCCGCCCAGCTGCGTGAGGAAGGGGATGGTGGAAGGGCTGCTCCGGCTCCAGCGACGACAGCGCCGTTCAGACCCGGCTCCGCGGGCCGCCGCCGCCGCCCGGCCCTCCTCAAAGCCCCCACACAGCTCTGCTTCCTCAAAGCATCTGTGGCACAGAAACAACACTTTCTTGTGAGCGGCGTTCACAAGAGTTCGTTTAACTAAAAGAGTCGTAGAGAAGGGCAGGGTGGACTTCCGCGTTTGCCGAATGGCGGCTTCAACTTCCGCACTTTCCCGGAGAGCGGGGCGTCGGGGCAGCGTGGGCCGCGCTCACACCCATTTCCGGACTTGGGTACAAATCGTTCTATCCACTCAGAACGCCCTCCCTGCCGCTCTGTCCCAACAAGCTTTCCGCTCCGGCCAGGCCTTTTCCATGGTCTCCAGCCTCCACCGGAAGCCAGACGGGCCCCGGAGGGCCTCGGGCGAGGTCTCGCGACCCGTCTAACTCTCACCCCGGCTGGAAAAGGCCTGCTCGCGGCCGCCCAGCGCTTACGTCACCCGACAGCGCTCGCCACGCTTGCGCACTGGCCCTCCCCACCCCCGCGCGGGCTTCTCTCCGGCCAGTCGCGCGTGGGCTGAGGCCCTGGGCGGGCGTTGCGAAGGGCTCCTTGTTTGAGCTCGGACCCCGTGCCGGTCCGCAGTTCCCGCCTGCGAGGAGGGCACACCCCCGGGGTCAGTTGAATGGGCTGTCTCGTGGGCTGCTAGGGGGCGAGCTGTGGAGCGCGGGGCTGCGGCCATGAACTCACCCGTAGACCCCGGCGCCCGGCAAGCGCTGAGGAAGAAGCCGCCGGAGCGGACGCCTGAGGTAAGGCCGGCTGACTCTGGCGCGACCCCCCGCCCAACGGACGGCGTCCTCTTTCGGTCCGGAACCTGCGCTTTCTGCGCCCTGGCAGCGCCGAGAGCACCTGCTGCCGTGCGCCTTCCCGGCGTCCTCGGCCCGGCCCCAGCCCTCGGCGCGGGCGGGACGGCGGCCGCCTCTCCCGCCGGGACCTCCTCGCGTCTGCGACGGGAAGCGCCGTCTCTGAATACCGGCGTGTTTTCCGAGTTGGGTGAAATGAGGGTTGGGGAGTGCATCTGCCATGTATTCAGGTAGACTGAAATACGAGGTAAAAATTGCAAGTGAACTGTAACCACCGAGCAGTTTCAAGATAACCTTACACTGTGTATTGCGTCCCGGAAATACTGTACAGTTACCCAACAACAGTTAAACTTTTCAGAGTACATTTAAAACTTGTATCCAGTCCGACGGTAAATTCTGTGGTGGATGATGCATGTTTGAAGATCACTTCTTTAGGTACTTTTTCAGACGGCGGGAAACTTTTACAGTATTTTTTGCTTGGATAGAAAATCTGCTATTTTAGGTTAGCAGTAATGCATCAGCTGGGAAAGTTTTCATTTGACCTGAGAGTTTTCAGGCAAATAACAAAAATCTGTTAGTCTCGCGTATCGTTACAGAGTAGTTAGAGTTTTTTGAAAGGTTTTCCTTGACGTGGAGAATTTGCTGTGATCAGTGATACCTGTGCTAAACCAAAAGAAAACCCAGCAACAATGTGAGTGGATTTTCTTGCTTATAGTTGCAATCATTTAAGTGTTTTAATTCTTGCTAAGTCACTTTTGACTTAGATTATAGTGTTTTGTATAGTAAGTCTAAATAACTTTGGTCTCCTCTTTTGAGACATAATATTATTCAAAACATTTCTTTAATTAGTTTTTGGGGGGCTGGGGGGTACCGGGTATCGAACTCGGTCGGGTCCTTGCGCTTTCGAGGCAGGCGGCAGAACTACTGAACTAAAGCTTATCCAGCCCTATTCAAGACATTGAAGCTACGTTAAGTAAAACTTTGTCGTTGGAGATCCTGATCTTTGGTTAGGAGCAAAGCAGATTTTACTACTTTCTAGAATCCTCTTTGCATTTATGATTTCATGAATCTTAATTTTCGTGTGAGTATTGAACTTAATGTTAGCTAAGTGAAAGTCACTTTGAACAGTTGAATTTTTCCATAGTTTTGATATCATTAAGAAGTGTCGTTTCTATATGTGCACCCATGCTTATAGCGGCACAGTTTGTAATAGCTAAAGCTTGGAAACAGACCAAGTGCCCATCAACTGAAAACTGGGTAAAGAAGATGTGGGTTTTTTTTATAGAATGGAGTACTACTCAGCCATAAAAAAGGAGAAACTAGAGACATTTATAGCTAAATGGATGCATATTGAGGCCATCCTCTTAAGTGAAATAAATAGGACACACACGTGTAAATACCGAATAGTTTCTCTCTTGTGAGAAACTGAAAGTGTAAATAAGGATTAAAATAATTAAAACGAATAATTGATAATTTGAAATAGGAAGAAAAGGTCCAAAGGGGTAGGGGTGGTGGGAGGGGAAGGGGAAAGGAAAGAAAGGAAAGGAAAAATTATGAGAAAAGAAAAAAATGGAAACAAAGTCTATGTAAATAGGGAAGAGTGGAGGGGGTGAAGGGAGGACAGGGAATGGGGAAAAAATAAGACCCAAGATAAATCATGTACAGGCACAAGCACCCAGTGATAAATGTAAACGTATTGTATACCTAAAATGTAGCAATAAAATGATTTAAGCCAGAAAAAAAGGTCGTTTCAATCCCCGGTACCAAAAAAAAAGTGTCGTATAAGAATTATAATATTTAATTAAGGGCCAGGGATTTAGCTCAGTGGTGCCGCTGCCTGCTATGCAAGCGGAAGGACCCGAGTTCAATCCCTGGTACCAAAGAAACAAAACAATGTATAATGTAGATTTTACATTTAAAAATCCATTTTTTTTTGTTTTGTTTTTGAGTCAGGGTCTGGCTATGCAGTTCTGGTTGACCTTGAACTGTGTAGCCCAGGCTGGCTTCGAATTCACAGTGATCCTCTTGCCTCAGCCTCTTGAGTGCTGGGATTACAGGCTTATTGCTTTTGATAAATTCATATTTTAATGGGAAAATCCTCTTTAATAGCAGACTTACCTATTTTTTTTCTTTTTTCTTTTTTTGGGGGATTGAACTCGGGACCTTGCGCATTTGAGGCAGGCGGAAGCAACACTGAGCTAAATCCCTGGCTCACCTATTTTGAAATTGCATATTTTTGAGCTTAGAAAAATTTCTAAACTGTGCATGAAGTTTTCTGTTTCCCAGTGTGTGGTAAAGTAATGTGTTAAGTACTTTATCTTGTTTTACTGGAACAGCAGCATTGTTCAAGTGATTGCTAAACTGCTTGTAGTTCATAGGATAGAGCACTGATATTTACCAGTATAACATTAATTTCTTGATTCATTGTCAATGATTTTGAATGCATGTAGAGTTCAGGGTACAAACCTATGAATAAGGAAGTGGTAACCTGAATCCTAGTGATGATTTATTTTGATGTATAATTTGATGAAATTTTTACAAGTTAGTTTTCAGAAGGTCCTTATGCTTTTAGTGGGCTCCTAAGGGTCTGTTATAAATACATTAATTCAGTGATTATTTATTGAGAGCCTCCCTGTTCAAGGTACTACTGTTTTCTGCAGAAGGGAAGTATCAGTGAGTAAAACAGTATGGTCCTGGTGGTTCTTACATTCTAATGGAGCAAGGCAGGGAAAAGCAAATGATAAATGTAATAAATGAGTTACATAATACATTAGCTAGTAATTGCTCTGGGGGGAAAAAGCGAGATAAGAGGAACTGGAGACAAGTAGCAAAACCTGGGTTTCAGTTTAAAGAGGACAGCTCCTGTTGTCCTAGTTGAGTTGGCTTTTCTTTAAAGATATGCACCTGGTAGAAGTAGCTATGGGGTTATGTATGAAGAAAGCTTTGTAAGAGGAGGGAATAGTAATTGCAAAGACCCCATGAGAGCATGTGTTGATATACTTCAGGAATAGCAAGGAGCTCTTGAGTGACTAGAGAGTAGTGAATCAGGGTGAGAGTAGTAAGAAATTAAGTCAGAGGAAATAGTGGTGATGCAGGGTAGGACATATTATGTAGAACTTTCTAAATCATTAGAAGTTTTTTTACTTTTATTTTTAGTAAAAGGGGTGGGGGTTTTGAAGTATAGGAGTGAAAATATCTTTCTTAGCTTCAAGAGAAGAGTCCCCAGGCTGCTGTGTAGAGACTAGATTGCTGGGGAGCAAGGGTAGAAGCAGGAAGTGATACACTATTGCATTCAATCACGTAAGAGACTGTGTTAACTCAAACTGAAGTGCTAGTAATGAGAAGTACTCGATTTTTGGAAATATTTTGAATGTTTATCCAACAGGATTTGCTTTGATGTGGCTGTGAGTGAAAGAAAAGAATCAAGCATAATTTCAAGGTTTTCGGTCTAAATATTTGGAGTGCTTTTCAAGAAGTTGGAGGAGATTCCATCAGAGAGATGGGGAAACAAGCTGGGGATCTAGGTCAGTACTAGAGCCTAGCATTCATGAAGCCCTGGATTTTATGCTGTGACTTTTAGTTCTGATATGTCAGCTTCATGAGATTAAAAAATACCTAGCAGGATTTGGAATCAGAACTCCTGGCCTTTGGGCTCCAGGACTTCTTAACTGTGTGCCCTGGTCCTCAGGCTTTCTGCCTCAGGCTGAGAGTTACACCACTGGCTTCCCTGGTTCTGATACCTTCTGGCTTTTGGATCAAGCCAGACTACTGGCATCCTAGGCTGTCAGCTCGTACACATCCGGTTGTGGGATTCTTAGCCACTATAATATATGTGCCAGTTCTTCAGTAAATCTTTTTCATATATCCTATATGTAATTCTTACTGGCTTTGTCTCTAGAGAACCCTAACACAGGTTTTGTACCAAGTAAGCCAAATATCATTTCTTCTTCACCATATTCCTTATAACACGGTGGAAGAAATCTGAAATAGTTACCTTGCAAAAAGGCTGTGATAACTTAAATATTCTTAGGGTACTTAACAGTGAAAGATAAAAGTTTAAAAGCTGATATTATTGGTGGTTTTCACAGAAAATCATTTAATTCCAATAACCAAGCAATAACTAGACTTGAATGGATGACGTGTACCTATAGACCAAAACTGTGGTGAGTGTCTTGAAGATCACAGAAGTAAAAACCCAGGTCAAAAATACTAAAAATCTCCTATCAAATTATTGATTTTTGTAATCAATAGTAATCACCATGGAACACCTTGCTTACTTTCAAAAACTGCCCTTTGGGTTGTTTTTCTTTTTTGATACTGGGGATCAAACTCAGAACCTTGTGCTTGTGAGGTAGGCACAGCACCACGCGGCTAAATCCCCTGCCCTAACAACTGCCCTTTGTCAGTGAATAAAAATAATTTGATGATCTCAGTCACCTTCTGAACCAAAGAACTTGAAGATATACAAGTAGAGGTTCTTCCAGTTTTATATAAAACATACCAAATGGTGAGTTTGTCTTAGGGATTTGACTGTTGAAGAAGATATAATTCTTATATTTACCACTAACATGGAAAAAACTAGGTTCATGCCTTACGTTGGCTAATGGATGGCACTTAAAAATGTTTTTAAAAAATCAAATATAGTATATACAGTTCATGACCTTGATGGATCTAAAGATTCTAGGATTTATCTGCTTCTTTATATAGGGATGACTGGAGGAAATGAAGCAATTTTTAAAGGTTTATTTGAAGATTCAGTAAACTTTATTGAAGAAAATGCGTTTCATTTGAATTCTCAAACCACATTATTAGATTTGGAATTAGGTGTGATCAAGACTTCTAAAAATGAGGGGGCTGGGGATTTGGCTCAGTGGTTCTGCCGCCTGCCTCGCTAGCGCAAGGTCCCGAGTTCGATCCCCGGTACAAAAAGTTCTAAAAGTGAATTT